TCTATCTATCTATCTATCTATCTATCTATCTATCTATCTATCTATCTGCACATAACCCTGTTTTTGAACGGTCTTACTAGGTAGCCCAAGCTGGCATGGAATTGACTATGTAGCCAAGGCTAGCCTTGAGCTGAAATCACCTGCCTCAGCCTGGTGCCACCATGCTCCACTTAATTTTTGTTGGTTCTAATTCTTCATTACAATACATGCATAAAAGGAGACGCCCATTAGCCAGATAACCTGACGCGGAGAACCTTTGTCTGATCCTTTTTGCCACTGCCTTCTGGTCAGATCTTGGCCTTTTTTCTTTCTGTAAAAATACAAATATTTATGTTATTGTATTACTTTGTCAATCATGAGAATGTATGTGATTTTTGAAAACATTAACTGGAAGTATATATTTTGGAGTGTTCTTGATAAAGTTAATGCTACCTCATTTTTGAGGTTTATTTTATCTATAAGAGACATAATTATTTGTTTAAAAGAACAGATCTTCCAAAGAGGAAATACTCATTTTTCTATGGCTGGATCTCTGCTTGAGATCCTTGTCTTTAAAAGAATATTTTTATGTAGATGGATGTTCTGTCTACATGTATGTCTGTGTATCACATGTGTACTTAGTATACACAGAGGCTGAAGGGGGAACTGGATAGCTGGGGCTGGAGTTACAGATGGTTGTTAGCCACCATGTGAGTGCTAGGAATTGAACTTGGCTCCTCTGGAAGAGTAGCCAGTGCTCTTGATTGCTAAGCCATCTCTCCAGCCCCCTGGCTAGATGATGATAATCTGAGACTGTATGCATTACCACCATACCCAGCAATGTTTGTTTTTTTAAATGAGAAAAGTTATTCCAGGTTATAAACTTAAGAATGAACTGCTTTGGGTCAGAAACTCACACAGAAATGTTAGGAGACAACTGCAGTCATCTAGGGGTGTGGTCTTGAATCTGTAGCATGGCTTCTGGCATACATGGGAACTACTGTGCTGGTGGGTGCTGCTGTCCCTACTACCACTATGATCAAGACATTAATGAAAGGCCAACACTACTGGGTGTGGTAGTAGAAAAAAACCCTACAAGTTTTGAGTAGCTATACTGTTTTATCTATGCTAGCTAGAACCAAATTGTTTATAATGAAACCAAGGATTACAGAGGCAACAGCCTGAAGGCACAACGGCTACATATATTTCCAGTGACTCATTCCCAAGACTGACATACACAGCCACACCCCACATTCACACACCCCCTTTCCTGTTCAGTGCTTGAAAAAAATTCAGGCATCCTTTCTCTCTCTTTGGTTTATAGGTAGCAAATTCTAACAACCCCCCACACCACACACTTAAACAAAGCTCTTCCCATTTTCTATCATTCCACAGCTCCAAGGCACCAAGAAAGTTTATTCTTGTTATATTGTGGTCCTAAGAATCCGAATTCTTAGAAGTTGCTCTTATTACATACTCAAAATTCAGTTTATTACAAACTACAGATTTTAAAAATCTTTTATTACTTAGAAAAACATCATTAACTTTTTTGTTTTTACATTTATGTATTTACTGTGTGTGTGTGCAGGTCAAAGGACAATTTGCTGGAACTGGTTCTGGGTCTAGAATTCAGGTCCCAAAGCTTGGCAGGAAGGACCCTTGTAGCATATGCCCTGTCGCTGGCTCCCAGCTTCCTGTTTTTATTCAGCTTTATGACTCTAGACTTGATCCTTCAACACTTTCAGTTTTTCTGTTCAATAAGCACAGTTGATCGTGTAATGGACTCATTTAGCACACATAGACTCAACTGTAGGCCTTGCTATCATCTATCTGTTTTACACACTCTCCTAAGGACTTTACATCTCACAGCACCAACCTGGGCACAGAGATTTTGGTGCTTTCTCGATCTTTTGAAGTATAAAGGCCAACAGTTCTACTACCAGAGGTTTGACAGCCCATTTATTTTAGACGCTGCATTCTTGGAAAGCCTAGCCCAATGTCAAATAGTAAGACACCGTGAGGGTCTCCAAAAGACCCTCTCGGGAAGAGAAAAAGTTAAGTCAGATTAAAAGTTTTTGGTGAAATAGTTTATGCCCTGCTTACTGCCTGGTAAACGGGAACTTTTAACAAATATGGACTTTTCGATTGTCCCTTCTCTCAAGTGTTCTCACTGCTGGCTTTGGGTAGTTGGGCTGGGATTTAAAACCGAAGTGCCTGTGAACGAACTGGTCGCACGGTCTGCTACTGTCAATCAATCTCTTTTTCCCCAAAACAAAGAACTAATCACTGGCTGAGAGTGTGGGGACCCACCAGAGTGGTCTCTCAGGAGGTCAAGCTGGCAGTCTAGTTCTTTTTCCGGGGGCAAGAGACAAATTACATCAGGCTCAAAGGCCAGAGGGCCGGACAGGGTTCGTAAGGCCCACCGAGGAAGAAGGCAGGGCGGGCGGAGCTCACAGAACCAGGGAAGGACCTGCTGGGGCATGCGTGGGTGCGTGCGTGACGGCAGGGCGCTCTCCCCAGGCTGTTCCAACAGCAGAAGCGTCTCCACCCAAGCCGAGGAGACAGGAGGCTCAAAGCTCCAGACCAGCCCGAACCTGGCGGCGTCACGTGGCCAAGCTCAGGGGCGGGGACAAGCGTGGCCCGTCCAGCCCCGTCCGGCCCCGCCCACCCATGCGCATGCGCGTCGTCCCGGGCGCTGAAATTCAAATTTTGAACGGCCGTGGTAGCCTACCGACTCCGGTGCGGAGGGCAGAGCCGACTGGGTGTGGGAGCGCCCGCCGCCTTGACTCCAGTCTTCCTCCAGGAGCTGCGCCGAGCCTGCACTCACTTCTTTCCTTTTTCTGAATTTGAACCGTCGGACCCACCGTCTAGCAGTCCACTCGTGAGGCCTGGGGCGATGGACCCGTTCACTGAGGTGAGAGACTCTGCGGGCGCTGTGAACCATGACCCCTGCGGACTCCCGGACCCCCGCCCGCGCTAGCTGTCAGCCTGCGGCCCACCGGCGAGCAGCGTGGCGCGTGCGCACAGCGAGCGTGCAGCCGGGCGGAAGCCGCGGGGTCGCAGTCGCCCCGGCTTCGCTGCTCCGCCTGTGCCTCTGGCTGTTTCAGGAATCCGGGGAAGGCAGGGAAGACAGGGCCTCAAAAACCCGACGCTAACCCCGAGCTCTGAAGTCGTTTAGCCTTTCTCCCCTCCCCCAAGTGCTGGCACAAGGTCTGAGTGCCGGGCCGCTCTGGTTTGACCCTGCCCTCTGGTTCGTGAGACTTAATGCAAGCTTTCCTCCTTTATCCATCCGTCTTGCTGTCTCTCGGGAAGAGTACGGCTTGGGGCCTAGTGGGACGGGCCCTGCCCAAAAGCTGGAATAGTTGGCAGGGTGGGGTCTGCCGAGTGACTCGTACTGTGTGCCTGGAATCTGATGGAAGCGATAAAGGACTTCACAGGCCCAGAGGAGCCGAGCACTTAAGAATCCTGTGATGAAATCACCCAAGTCCAAATGGGCAGGTCCTTTAGCCTCGAGTTCCTTCTTAAGTCACGGCTCTGATAACTTTAGAAAGTCTCATGCACAGGGTTGATACTGATTGAAAGGAAACAGGGCTTAGTTACTTAACCTCAGTGTGTGGGAACCAAAATTATTAGCGTGTGATGTAAGGTTAGTAAACCCCGGTGTTTATGGAGCATATCATTTCAACGATACCTTCCTCATCTCTTCCTTGGAAATAGGGTCTAGATTCCGTGTTAATCTTATTATTTTAGTTTTAGCTTCACGCCGCAACTGTGCACTGACAGTCAGGATTGCGTGTTGCTGTTTGCCCAGTTTATTGCAGGACAGTTCCTTTTTTTCTTTTGCTTTAAGCTGTTTAAATTTCAAGACTGTTGTCAGTTTTGTAAAGTGGGCATACAGTGTTTCTGTACTACATTGAAAAATGTTGTAGAAGATAGTAATTATTTGGGGTAGTGTAGTTAACAATTAAATAAGCTAAGCCCAAGATATTAGTTAAGGGTTTCAACAATTGAAGATTTCAGCATGACCGTTACGATGCCTGCCCCGCCCTTCGCTCCATTTGAAGTTCTAAGTTATCTTTTTTTTTTTTTTTTTTTTTTTTGGTTTTTCGAGACAGAGTTTCTTTGTGTAGCCCGGGCTGTCCTGGAACTCACTCTGTAGACCAGGCTGGCCTCGAACTCAGAAATCCACCTGCCTCTGCCTCCCAAGTGCTAGGATTAAAGTCGTGCCCCACCACCGCCCGGCAGTTCTCAGTTATCTTATGGGAAACAAGACTTGGTTAACTTTAGAATTTCTAATAGCGGGCTGGAGAGATGGCTCAGCAGCTAAGAGTACTGGCTTCTCTTTCATAGAACCTAGATTCAATTCCCAGCAACCATTTGAGTCTCATAAAAGCCTGTAACTCCAGTGTCAGGGGATCTAATGTCTTCTGGCCTCCAGGGACAGCAGATACTTATGTGGTACTCAGACATACTTGAAGGCTAACACCCATACACATAAAAATAAATGAATTTGAAAAAAAATTCTAATAGAAGCATCCACGACATATTTTGTAGCAGCTATAGAGAAGAGGGACAATTACTCACCAAATTATCTGTCACTTACATTGAATCTTTAAAAATTTTATTTATGTGAGCCATGCTTTGATCCTAGCCCTCAGAAGGGAGAGACCCAAGGATCTCTTGAGTTCAGGCCAGCCCATTATTCCAAATGCAATTAATATATATAATCATTTTCTGAGACAAAGTTTATGTGTGTGTCTATGTATATGTGTGTGTGTTTGCACATTTGCTTATGAGTTTGAATTTTTTATTGAAAGCATTTATTCTTTTTGTTTGTTTTGTTTTTCACGACAGGGTTTCTCTGTATAGCCCTGGCTGTCCTGGAACTCACTCTGTAGACCAGGCTGGCCTCGAACTCAGAAATCCGCCTGCCTCTGCCTCCCAAGTGCTGGGATTAAAGGCGTGCACCACCACCGCCCGTCGAAAGCATTTATTCTTAAAACTTGCATGCAGTAAAATTACCACAATTCTAGATAATATTGAGTTTAAAGATGATATTTTGTTACTAAAAGAATAAAATTACTTTGAATAGTGCTCTATACAGGAACAAAACACTTTGGAAAGTTGGTTGAATTTGTACTTTAACTTAAAAATAACCTTTTGAAAGTAGTACAAAACTCAGACAAAAAGACTTCTTGTTTGGGTCCTTTTAAAGGCTGTTTGAAAATGTGCATGCCTTAATGTGTAGTTTATATTATAAAAGCTGGGTCGGTTACAGTTAGAATAACAGCTTTGAAATCTTTCCCTTAATTGGTAATGAGAACATGGAGTGAGTTCCACTGACTAGGTGCTCAGTGGTAGCATTCATAACATTTTTGAAATGTGAAATGAATTTCTAATAGTTTTGTTTGTCTAAAAGGGACTAAATGTCAGTATAAAATAAATTTCTCAGCAAGGGTCTTACTCAAAACCATGCAACACAGAAAAATTATTTGAGAGATTATTTTTAAAATCCTTCCAGGGTGATTATTTATCAATGCCATCATAAAGCAGAAAAGAAATTATCGTGTTCCATCAATGCGAGGACATTAGGACCTTATTCTCTTGGTAACTCCTATTTCAAATGCTGCGGACCTGGGAAACACTCTTTTCCTTCGGCCTCTCCTCCCTGCTGCCCTGGTGTCCAGCATGACCTCACTTGTCCGCCTGTTCTGCTTTATAAATGCACACTTAGCTACCAGTGTGCAGGCAGTCAGCCTTCCTTCTGAGTCACTTTCACAGTGTGCACTTCCTGTGCACGTCATGTTAAATGTGCTGCCTTCCAGAATGGGTGTGTTCCAAGTCGACTGGGTTTTTCCTTTTCAGTCATATTTTCTCCAACATCAAACATACTTTATATTTAAAAGAATTTTTAAATTCATGATACAGTATAAGAAAAGTATACTTAAATACTGAGCCTGCACTTTTATGTAATTTAGACATTTCTTCAATTAAAAAAACTTTTTGGCACTTATTAACCTGATTTTGTTGTTTAGACTATTTAAATGTTTGTTTTATTTTTACATCTGTGAGTTTTGAATCCATTGCAAACAGTAGAGAGAGCACTGTGTGTGTTTGAATGGGAAAGCCACACTTTGCGTTGTGAACCGTTGCTCATAGCAGTGGAAGCTGTACTGACTCAAGTACTGACTGTGGAGAATGGACTGCTGGGCGTGCCGTCGCCGGAGATCATTAGGGCAGCTTTGGTTTTTCAGAGTGATGTATTTTATCATGAAAGCGATGACTTTGTATAGCGGTCTGATCACTTTTGAATGGTAGAAGGAGGCTGTTTTAGGGGATGAAGGTCTTGTGCACACACAATATTTTAATTGCACAGCCTTTTGATTGTCACTTCTTTCAGTGAACATTAAGTTAGAAGATATTTCTAAGTGCAGAAAGTTGTGCTTAACCCAAATTTAGTTCATTGTTGTTTTTAACAAAATTTCAACTGTTTGATTTTACCACTCAGGAGTCAGATGCTGGGGTGAAAGCCTGCTAGCTCAGAAACACCCAGATGACCTTCCTCCATAGCCAGCATCCTAAAAGGAAATTCTTCACGCCATCTCAAAAACCCCTCCAACTGAATGTTCCTCCTTTCTACTTCCTGTGAGCTTCTCTGTTCTCCTGACTCCCTCTTTCTCTCTCTATTTTTTTTTTTTTCTTACATTTGTTCCCTGTTAACTGGTTGCTTACTCCGGCTCTTGACCTATGGTTGACTTTATTTAATCCTGTTTACAATATTCAAGCAGAAACAACTAGAAACAGTTTTTTTTCCCCAGTAAACAATCTCAGGGTTTACAGTGTAAATAAATATCCTGCAACAGTTCACATTTTGTGTTCTTGTAAACAGTCTTGTTCTGGAGACCAAGCTAGCTTGAACTAGCTTTGCATCTCATGTTGTCTCCCCCTCATGAGCTTCCTCCCTCCTCAGCCTTTTAAGACCTACAAGAGTGGCTACTATCTTGATAGAACTCATGTTCCTTCTAAGGGTTTCTTAAAAATTGCATTTTAATTGAAGAATTAAATGGGTCAAGTATAGCTTAATCCCCAAGTCTGTATTAATTAATTAATTAATTAACGCTCAATATATGCAGAGTAGTGATTATCTGTGTTCTTCTTTAATTGTGTACATTTTAAGTGAGAATAAATTGTTTTATAACATTTTGATTCAAATAGTCTTGATTCAGAGTGAGAAAAAGAAGTATTCATGATTTTATACTGTGGCTAGGATATAGACTTATGACTATTTTATTATATGTTAGTATTTATTTAATATAATATAAGATTAGCATTTTCTCCTTGGGAAGTCTGTTATAAAAGACTAATTACAGTTATTTTCTGCTGTTTGTCACAGTTTCATATCTGAGTGTGTTAGCTATTACAAATTATTATACATTTTGGGACTTATACTGGGCGTTGTATTGCACACTTTTAATCCGAGTACTCAGGAGGCAGAGGCAAGGGGATCTCTTGTGAATTTGAGACCAGCTTGGTCTACATGATGGATTCCAGGGAAACCAGGGCTACAGAGACCCTGTATCCAAAAACAAACACATTAGTGATTTAAAGACTTAATATTTCTTAGTTTTGTAGGTCATGGGTCTGAAATGGATTTTATCAAGTCAGTAAAAGTATAGGTAGGACTTGACTCCTGTTGTGAAGCTCCAGTTGAAAATCCATTTCCTAGCTGCTTGCAGCTTGTAGATCTTTCTGCACGCCTTGTCTTCTGGCACCGTCATCCCTGCTCAGAGCTTCAGTTCTCTTCATGCTGCACTTGCCTCTGTCACCCTCTTTTCTGAGTGGCCCTTCTTCCTCCCTTTCCCCACTGTGTGCCACTGTGTTACCCTGTAGGAACCATTGTGATTTTCTTGGGTCTACTCAGATAACCCAGGATAATGTTTACATATCAACAGTCTTGATCACATTAGCAAAATTCTGTTTGCTATAAGCTAACACCAACATTTGTAAGTCAAAGACAGGAGCACAAGCATTTTTGTGGGACTATTTTTCTACCTAGCATACTGACATACTTAAACAACTTCTTTCTGTTAATTTTTGTTGTTGTTAAGATTTATTTATTTTATGTATGTGAGTACACTGTCACAGTCTTCAGACACACCAGAAGAGGGCATCAGATCCCAGATTACAGAGGGCATCAGATTACAGATGGTTGTGAGTCATCATGTGGTTGCTGGGAGTTGACCTCTGGAAGAGCTGTCAGTGCTTTTAACTGCTGAGCCATCTCTCCAGGCCTTCTGTTAATTTTTTGTTTTAATGGGGGAGGTTGGAGAGCTGACTTAGTAGTGAAGAGCACATGTTGCTCTTGCAGAGGACTTGGTTTAGTACCCAGTGCCTATGTGATAATTCACAGCCACCTGGAACTCCAATTCCAGGGATCTGTCATCCTCTTCAGACACAGGTATGTACATTGTTCATATACATGCACACACTAATCATTTTTTTTCTGATTTAAATTTTCTCTTGGTGCTGTAGATACAGTTCACTGTTAAAGAGAGTTGCTTTTCTAGAGGAATGGAGTTCTGTTCCCAGCACTCACGTTGAGCAGCTCACAGCCGCCTGTAACTCCAGCTCCAGAGGATCCAACACTACCCTCTTCTGGCCTCCACGGGCAGTTAGATGCATTTGTGCATATTTACATCCAAACACACACAGTTACATTTATTTACTTGTGTGTGCACAGGTGATAGTGTGTATATATTAGGCACATGTGTGACACTCAGAAAACAATTGGTGCTTTCCTCCTTCCCTGTAGGTTTCAGGGACTGAATTGTAGTGTTAGTCTTTGCAGTGTACACTCGAACCTGCTGAGCACTCTGACTGTGCTGTTCATCTCTGGCTTTTGCCTGTAATCACATACCATATCTTTGTGTTACAGCAAGTTATCTGGAACTAAATGCCGTAATGCTGGCTTTCAGTGGAGCTGTCTCTCTAGCATGGCAAACCTGGACTTTTCACATAATGTGCTAATCCAAGGGAGAGAGTGAGAAGCTGGGAGGCTTCGGGACCTAGCACTGAACATTACATAGTACATTATTTATGACAGTCACAGCAAACCGTAAGTCCAGGCCAGCCAGCCCAGATTCAAGTGGTGAGAGAGATTACCTTTGTATGAGTATGTTGGTATAGCTGTGTGTGCATGTGTACACACATGTGCACGTGGAGGCAGGGCGTTGACATTGCACATCTTCCTTACTCTACCTTATGTTCTGAGACAGGATTTTTTCACCTACCCTGACTCACTGATTGGCTTGACTGGCCAGCCAGTGAGTTTCAGGAAGGCTCTTGTCTCTACCACTCCTAGTGGTCCTTGATGGATGCTGCCATGCTTGACTTTTTGTGAATACTAGGGGTCAGACTAAGCTATCACTTAGTCCTTGATTATACCTTTTGATTGGAACAGAAAATACACAGCATTTAAAATCTTATATAAGTATCTTTATATGCTTCCTATTTATATTTTTATTGACTGTAGTAATTTTGATGTGAGTGCTTGGTAAATCTTGGTCAGTTACTTGAGATTTTATCTTTGAAATGTGTTTGACTGTTATCCTACATAATAGTTGTTGATTTTAGAAGGCATCTGAGGTTTTGTGAACCTTCAGCTAACATTGTGTCTTAACCCTGGTATAATATAGAAGTTGCTAGAACGAACACGTGCCAGACGAGAGAATCTTCAGAGAAAAATGGCTGAGAGGCCTACGGCAGCAGCAAGGTCTGCACCGCATGCGAAGCGAGGCAGAGAACCACTTTCAGAAGCAAGTAATCAGCAACAGCCCCTATCAGGGGGCGAAGGTAAAGACTTCGGAAGAGTAAAACTGGCATGGATTTCAAAGGACATAATTCCAAACCTTTCATTATGCATATAGAAGAACCAGTCTTTGGGGGACAAATGCAACAGACTTGGTCAAGAGTAGCCGTCTGTTCTATTTCAAGGTTCTTACATCAGGACAGAGAGAGAACTTGGTTAGATAGCCAGGGAAAGTGACTTTCTATGAATTTCACACTATTATCTTAAACATTTTTAAACCTTTTCTGAAATACATTTATTTTTATCATATGTGTATGGATGTTTTACCTGCGTGCATGTCTCTGCAGCACGTGTACAGTGTCTGTGGGAGGCCAGAAGAGGGCACTGAATCCCCTGGAGCTGGAGTTGTATATAGTTGTTAGCTGCCATGTGGGTTCTGGGTCTTGGAAGAGCACAGTGCTCTTAGCCACTGAGCCATCTTTCTGATGGGCACCTCTTAATTTTTTGTTTATTTAAAAGAATCTATTGTTGTGTGTGGGCAAGCGTGCCATGGTGCATATATGGAGGTCATAGGACAGCTCTATAGAGGTGTCTATAGAGGTTTCTCTTTTCACCTTCAAGTAGGTTCTGGGGTCAAACTCAGGTTTCCAGGAATGTGCAGTAAGCATGTTATCATTGAACCGTCTTACTGGCCTTTTATTCTTATTTAAAATATTAATTTCCTGAGCTGGGGAGATAGTTCTGTGGATAAAGTACTTGATGCATAAATGTAAGGACTAAAGTGTGTATTCCCAGCATCCATGTAAATGCTGGGGCTTGACAAGGACACAGGAGGTAGGAGACAGAGTTGCTACAACCAGCTGGAGATCTAGACTAGCTGAGGGTTCCAAAGAGAAACCCTGCTTCAGTTTATAAGGTGATAAGGTGAAACACAGAGAAGGCACCCATGGCAACCTCTAACTGCACTTGCACGTGTACCTGTACACATCTGTGCCCACACACAGAACAGTTGCATCTCACATAGCACGTATACGTAGCCACTTCAAAAGATCTGTTGAGATTCACTCTTGGGTAGAAGCAAAATACCTTACTTTGAATGGTGCCGTTAGGACTTTTTTACTCACTTTATTGATGTTAAATTATAAGATGGTGATTTTGTTTGATATAGATGAGATAGTACAGTTGTCTTCAGAGCCCACTGCTTGCCCAAGCCTCCAGTGAGGTATCCTTCAACTTTTAGTTATTGTCCATGACAGGTTGTTTCAAAAACAAACAAAAATCAAATTCCAGAAAAACTGTTTTCTACAATCTGATTTCTCTAGGCTTGACTTTTCTTCCCTAAAATGAAGTGATTCAGCTGAGATCCTTAAAATTCTTTAGAAGACTTGGTTATTGTTGTGGATGTGCTGCTTGTTTTCCTGTTGTCTAAAATTACACAAAATTTTATACATATATCTTAAAAATATTTAAACTTATTTTCATTGACTTTTTAACAGAAAAATGACATGTTCACCAAAAAAAGGTTTGTTTTTCTGTCATATTTTGAAGTTAATGGAAGAATTTTACATTTTTCTTATAAGTAGCTAAAGCACTAGAGAGATTTGATACCTTAGTAATTGTTAAGCTCTCACCTCTAGTTTTTTAGGCTGTGAAAACTGCAGAGGTCTCACTGTGGGCTTTTGTTGTTGTTCTTTTGGATCTAGAAAAGTCTTGTACAAAACCATCACCATCAAAAAAACGTTGTTCTGACAAAATTGAAGTGGAAGCTCCGGACTTAGAAAATAAAGAGCCTGCCGATGCTCCACAGCCTTATTCTCCAAGGCCTGCACCCCGACAGACGAAGCCCCCAGCACCAGCCCCTGCCAGTGATTCTGTGGCTGCCCCAGCACCACCACTCCTCAGCCTGGGCAGAGGGCTGAACTCAAGACCAGAAGCATCTACAGCCTCCTCAGTTAAAACTCGAATGCAAAAGCTAGCTGAGCAGCGGCGCCGTTGGGATAGTGACGTCACAGGTATAAAGGATGTGGGTGGATGCTCCCTGAATCACTTTGGTAGGATTCAGTGAGGAGCTGAATGTGGTGATACATACTTATAATCCCAACACCTGGGAGGCTGATGCAGGAGGATTATAGGTTTGTGGTCTGCCTGGAGTAACATGACAAGCAAGTGCTCTTGTTTTTTATCTGTGTCTGTGTTCTTTGCTTGAAGATGATTAGTGTACCAGGAGTGTATCCACAGAAACAGTGAGTGAGAAGAGACATTTTTACTCAGGTAGATAATGAAGTCCTTGAACCAGGACAGACTTCACCTAGAACTGAGTTACTTCTTGTTTGTAGAGAAAGAGTCCTGACCTCAGCTCTGTGTTCAGGAAATCCTATCATATGTTCACTCATCACTAAGGACACTAAGGTGTACACTGCTGTTTGGTAGGGAAAAGATGTCAAAACAACATACTCCCCACCCCAGTATATTGAGCTGTAAAGCATATTCTTACACTACAGTTCTGGACACAGATACGTGACTGGACCTTAGCTGCAAGCAAGCTAGTGGTTACGGTCCAATGCTATTTTTATTGTAGCTAACTTTACTGATCTTCTGACTTGTTATATAAAAACCTTGAAACAACTTCCTGAAATACCCATCTTATATTAAAAAGGAACCCAGGTTCAGAGGAAATGTAGATAAGAAAAGTTTTAGATTAGCATCTCTGAAGTATGAGTAACCCAAGATGTGCTTTTGTCTCTGTATTATAAAGCCTTTAATTTGGATGCATAGCCAGACTAGGATGAGACAGTCTGAATGAATTGATAGACTGCATTGTGTATGTTAATTTTGCCTACATGTAAGTATACACGTCACATGATTCCTGGCACCTGTCGAGCCCAGAAGAGGGTATCAGATCCCCTGGGTCTGGAGTTAAGGACTGCTGCAAGCTGTCATGTAGGTGCTGGGTATTGAACCCCTAGGAGAACAGCAGATACTGTGAGCCATCTCTGCAGCCTGTACACTGAATTCTTAAAAGAACACTTATTTAGTAGGAGTGTGTGTGTGTGTGTGTGTGTGTGTGTGTGTGTGTGTGTGTGTGTGTACAGTAAGTACTATTAAGCACTGAGCCATTTCTCCAGCCCCTCATTACTATGCATTTTAACTGAAGTTTATTAATACTGGGCAGCAGAGAGTTTTAGATTTCTTTCTCCTTCCATTTTTTTATTTTATTTATTTATTTATTTATTTATTTATTTTATTTATTATTTATTTATTTATTTATTTTATGTATGAGTGAACCTTTGCTGTCTTCAGACACACCAGAAGAGGGCATCAGATCTCATTGCAGATGGTTGTGAGCCACCATGTGGTTGCTGGGAATTGAACTCAGGACCACTGGAAGAGCAGTCAGTGCTCTTAATTAATGAGCCATCCTCTCCAGCCCCTCCCTTTTTTATTTTATTTATTTATTTATTTATTTATTTATTTATTTATTTTAAAGGTATTATTATGCATGTGCCTGGTGCTCATGTGGATATCAGAGGCCAACTTGCAGGATTCACTTGTCTCCTGTCACTGTGGAAACTCAGATAGTCAGGCTTGGCAGCAAACATCTATACCAGTGTTTCTCAACCTTCCTAATGCTGTGGCCCTCTGATACAGTCTCTCATGTTGTGGCCCCAACCATCAAATTATTTTTGTTGCTGCTTTATAACTGTAATTTTGTTCCTGTTATGAATGGTAATATAAATATGTAATATGCTGATGGTCTTGGGTATGGCCCATGAAAAGGTCTTTGACCCCAAAGAGATTGTGACCCATAAATTAAAAAGCACTGATCTGTGCCCACTGAGCCATTTTATCAATGCCTAATTTTTTGTTTGTTTGTTTTTGGTTTTGTTTTTTGTTTTTCGAGACAGGGTTTCTCTGTGTAGCTCTGGCTGTCCTAGAACTCACTCTGTAGACCAGGCTGGCCTCAAACTCAGAAATCCGCCTGCCTCTGCCTCCCAAGTACTGGGATTAAAGGCATGTGCCACCACTGCCCAGCTCAGTGCCTTACTTTTATTTTTAAGTAAAATGAACTTATTTTGGCATATATGTGTGTGCTGAAAAGAGTTTGCGGGGAGGAAGAATCTTTTGGAGCAGGAATCCTGAGGTTTTAGAGGAGTAAAATTAAAATTTCAGGCCAGGGTTGAAGCTTGGGCAGAAGGAGGGTAAGGAGAGGTCTCTTCTCTTGATTGTGTATATAGGGTATGATTTGGTCCAAACCTTGGCCTAGAACCTTCATTGGCTATCACTAGCTGAGATTTAACTTTTGTTTAAATTAATTAAAATAGGGATTTCAGTGCCCTAACCACATGTGGCAAGTGATTGCTATATTGTATGTGTAAGTGTAGGGTACCTCTTCTCTGTTCTCCTAGAGCTTTATGTTATCCATCATTGGCCAACTCCTGAACTATCACCCCAGCCCTACAATGGCATCTTACAGCATCCATAACCTATCCAAACCAAAAACCAAAAAACAACCTTACAAGCCAGCACACACCTTTAATCCCAGCACTTAGGAGGCAGAGGCAGGAGATCTCTGTGCAGCGTGATCTACAGAGGGAATTCCAGGAGAGCCAGGGCTATGCCATGAGTCCCTAACTCGAAAAAACAAACCAACCAACCAGCAAAGAACCTGTAGAAAGAAGTATGTGTTAAGGGTGTTTAAATTTGGATTAAGTATCATTTAATTTGAAAAGATGTTACATTTAAGTAGTGTACTAAATTTACAATGAATGCAAATTTTAAAATTTAAGTTTAAAATTTTTTTAATTTTATATTAAGTGATCATACGGTTATAAGAATAACTGTTGAATGTGGCTTTTGATTTTTCTGAAAACTTTTTCAGATGATGTATCAGGAAGCTCATGCTTCTCACCAGTGCCATCTGAGGAAAAGGCTGCCTCACCTTCCAAGCCACCCGTTTCAAATGCCTTAGCTACCCCAGTTGGGAGAAGGGGCCGTCTAGCCAACCTTGCTGCAACGATTTGCTCCTGGGAAGATGATGTAAGCCACTCATCTGCAAAGCAAAATAGTGTACAAGAACAGCCTGGTACCACTTGTTTATCCAAATCTTCCTCTGCAAGTGGAGCATCTGCTAGTATCAATAGTAGCAGTGTTCAGCAGGAAGCCACATACTGTTCTCAAAGGGATGGCAATGCCTCTGTCAGGAAAGACCCATCTTCAAATGCTGCTGATGGATCTTTGCTTAAAGCCTCAGTGTCCAGCTCTGTGGTGAGTCAATTCCATTTTGGTTGGTCTTTTGAAAATTCCGTTATAAATGGTAATGACTATATGTAGTCTCTGTATGTAGCTATATATTATGTAGTGCATGTGCAGCATATTTATATGTCTCATAAAAAGTGAAAACTATAAATCTGGTAGTTTATCTAAGATAAATTAACATTTTGTGACTGAAATAATGTTAATTTAAATTGAAATTTAAAAATCCAAAGTAAAAAAATAAAAATAAATAAATAAATAAATATCTAGAGTATATAATAATGGAATATGGTGGAGCCTTCTTTTGTTTTTGTGGGAATAACTAAAATTAATCCCTTCATTGCAACACTTTTATGGATATCTATAAATATAAGACACTGACTATTTCTGGAGAGATAGTATAAACCTGTATCTCTAGTTGCCTCTGAGGAAAGCACACTGACAAGCAGGAATGTCAAGGATAACACTTTTCACTGTATAACCCTTGAAGTGTTTGAAACTTTTATTTTATGGATGTACTAGTTTTTTAAAAAAAGGAAAAAGACTTTACATTGTCTTCCTGGGGATTGCCCAGCAGTGTTGACAGGAGCTTTGGAGTTAGACCTGCCTCGAGTCCTAGTTCTGAAGCAGTGAGAAATGTGACTCTGTACAAGTTCCTTAACATTGTAAAGGCTTATTTTTCCGTATGTAAAATCATGGAACAGGGTTATTAGAAAGATAAGCTATATGCATAAAGTGCTTAACATAATTCCTGGCTGAAACTTAGTTATTTTTTTGTAATCTACTTTTAAATCCATGATACTTAGGGTGGTTGAGCATTCCTAATCTGAAAATTTGAAGTCTGAAATGCTTTAAAATCTGAATGACGCCTCTGAGTGTTCACTTGTTATACTACAAGTGGAAAGTTCCACAAGGAGCTTTGCTTCATGCATTATATTATTTGTGGTACTGGGAATTTAACCCCAGGCTTCCTGAATACTAGGCAAATGCTGTATCCCCACCCTTATCGCATGAAATTATTTTTTTTTAAGATAATACAAAATTGCTTTCAGGCCGTGTCTAAGGTATATATAAAACAGAATTGAATTTGTGTTTAAACTTGGGACCCATTCCAATGATACCTCATTTCAAAAGAAATCCAAAGTACTTTGAATAAGGAATACTCAACTCATATCTTATTGAATAGATATTAAATTACTTAAAAATACAAATAAAAATAATTCAATATAATATAGTTTAGTAAAATACTAGCCCAATAATTTGAGAACTTTTTTTTTATAAAACTAGGAATGACCCTACCCCTGATAACTACTAAGCTATCAATATGAGACTAAATTGCCTATTAATTTAAATAAGTTGATTTTTTTAAAGCTGTTTAACTTAGTATGATATGTTAGAGAGCAAAGGAAACAATATTTTTGGTAATTTTTGTATAATTGCTACAAAGGAAATGGAACTTAAAGAGTTTTGTGCATCTATGCTATGATAATTACTGTTTACTCTGCTACGTGTTGTCATGTTTCAGAAAGCATCTTCCCCTGTGAAATCTGCTACATTCATCACTAAAAACTGTGAGGTACAAAATCCTGAGCTACTTCACAAAACTGTTAGTCCTCTGAAAACAGAGTCATTGAAACCATGTGAGAAGCCAACTTTATCCCAGGCAGTTCAGCCCAAAGAGGAAGCTAACAGAGAAGTTTGTCTACCGTCACAGTCCCAGGACAAACTTGCAACACCAGGTTAGGTATTTGAAACTGTTGAGCAGATTCAAGATACTTGTTGTCAACATTTTATTTACTGTTAATATGTTGGTTTTTGTCTATCGGACTGGCCTGCTGGTCTCAGTCTTGAGATCTCCATAGTCTCCAGAGGATTGAGATTACGTAGGCATTTATTGTCAACCTTTTTTTTTTTTTCTGCTTTTGATGTATAAAAGCACACACAATTACAAACTACATTTTAGGGGACTGTCAGAGAACCAGCCTTACAACTTTGTATGTAGAACAGTGCTTTCCAATCTTTACTGACTAGAGTAAATTTAATTTTACCTTGACTAACATAGCAGGCCATCAAGCTCCTAGGATCCACTTATCTCTGTCCCACCCCAACAGCAGAGAGAAGCTAATATGCATATAGAGTACTGCACTTCCATCATATTTACATATATGTATGCTTTTTGTATATAAATAAAGGTTTGTATTTCTTAGAGTAGTAAGCTAATGTTCCATAAAATGCTGTATTTATCTTGTGACTCATCTTCTGGTGTGCTGCACATGTCATCGACTGAGAAACACAAGACTAAAACAAGTTAGCAAAAACATATGGTGAGAGATTGTACTGTGGGCTGTGTTTAACTTTATGTGTGTACATACATCTGAGCATGTGGCCAGGTGTGCCTTTATGGACACATTAAAGCAGGAAGAGGCTGCTGTCTTCCTTTCTTCTTGTTCTCTTGAATCTCTCGCCAAACTGGCTAGCTAGCCAGTGATTGCCTCGGAGCCATGTGTCTCTACTTTCCGAGGCTAGGGTTACAAGCACATGTAGCCATACCTGGATTTTTACACGAGTCCTGGGGATTCAAACTGAGATCTTCATGCTTGCAGAGCAAATCCTCTACTGAGCCATCTCCATGCTGTCTCTCTCCCCCCTCCCCCCCCCCTCTCTCTCTGCCTCTGCCCCTCCCCCCCCCCCCCCCCCCCCGCCCCCCGTGTCCGTGTCCTTTTTGAACAGGATCTCATGTGCCCCAGGCTTCCCCGAGCTCACTATGTGGGTAAGGATGACTGGAGTTTAGATCTTCCTACCTCCATTTTCCCAGTTTTGGGATTACAGGCATGTATCACCATACACAGTTATTCTGTGCTGGGAATAAATCCTAAAGGATTCACACATTTCATGCATATTATCTACCAGCTGCTACATCCCCAGCCTGTGTGAACTTCCTGAAAACAGTCTTTCTAGAGATTACAGTTGATACGTTATAAGTGGAGACAGGAGTAGGCCAAGTAGAATACCACAGTCAATTTCCAGATGCTCTCAAGTGAGGATTGGAAACAAGAGGTGGAGCTCAGTGTGGAGCATTTTTCTAGCATGCACAGGCCCTGGGTTCAATCTCTACCACTCTTTCAGGCTGGAGGTGGATGAGGATGATAATACAATGACAATAGAACCATAAAAGAAATAATTATAAGACCCTTTGATGGAGTCAGGCAGTGGTGGCGCACGCCTTTAAACCCAGCACTTCGGAGGCAGAGGAAGGCAGATTTCTGAGTTCGAGGCCAGCCTGCTCTACAGAGTGAGTTCCAGGACAACCAGGGCTATTATACAGAGAAATCCTGTCTTGGAAAACAAAAACAAAAAAACCAACCAAACAAACAAAAAACAAAACAAAACAAAAGACCCTTTGATGGAATCAGACTGGTTCTTTAAATAAAATATATATGTATATTTAGATTTACTGGTTTTTATGATATGTGTGTGTTGTTTTGTCTGAATATGTATGTTGTTTGGTTTGAATCAGTTACTTGTGTGCTTGATGCCCAACAGAGTCAAAGAGGGCTTCAGATCCCCAGAAGTGGAGTAATTGATGGTTGTGAGCCACCATGTCAGTGCTGTGTATTGAACCCAAGTCCTCTAAAAGAACATCAAATGCTTTTAGCTGCTGAGCCATCCCTTCAGCCCCACAGACTAGGTCTTTTTCCCTAGGTTTCTAAAGATGTAAGACTTAGGTATGAGCGCTCTTTGTATCTTTCTTTATTAGTTAACAGAATTACATTACCAGCACCTCAGAGAGACTCAATTTAGATGGTTCTTTATTGAATTCTAGTTTCATATATGATCTGAAGTTGTAATAAATCCTATGTGGAGTCTTCCAAGTGTGGCCATATGTTGAATTCTGCTGTTTGCTTTTCCTTCCCTCTTCAATAAAGTATACTGTAATAGCCACATCCATCTATGTATGTATTTCCTGTGGCTCCTTTCCGTCTCTAATGCAGAGGTGAAGAGTTGTAAGAGACACCACAGGGCCTACAAGCCCTAAGTCCTTACTGTTTTGTCCATCAAAGGAAAGTGTTCCCAACCTCTTACTTAACCCTGTTTTAAGTAATACAACCTTTTGGTAAAAGTGGCGATATCTATCTCTTAATCTATCTATCTCTTTATCTGTCTGTCTGTCTGTCTTCCATTTCCCCTACTACAAAAGTACTTCATACTCTTACAAATAGCACTCTTTTAAGAGTATGTAAGATCGAGACATCTTTTTGATGAAGTGTGTATCTGATAATTTGTAGAAGAAGAAATGACGTATATGCACAGGTACATGCTGTGGCTGCATGGAGTCTGAGGATAGCTGTTTGGATTCAAGTTCTAATCCCAGCATCTGTGTCACACAGCTGACAGCTGCCTGTAACTCCAGCTCCAGGGGGATTGACACCGGACCTACTTGAGTACCTGTAGTCAGAATTACCCCCACATAGATACACATACATGCATACATTTGATTAAAAATAATAAAAATAAAATTAAAAAATTTAAAATGTGCATTTAATAGACTGAACAATTTTAATATTCTTTTTGTAAATCGCTGTTCCTAGAAACAAAGTACTTTGTAAGTAATGGATTTAGAATAGATTTTTTTCTTGGAAATGATAATTGCTAGTTATTTTGAATAGATTTCAAAACTGTGTTTTCTGTAGGAGGAAAAGGAATTAAGCCTTTCCTGGAACGCTTTGGAGAGCGTTGTCAAGAACACAGTAAAGAAAGTCCAACTTATAGAGCATCTCATAGAACCCCAAATATCACTCCAAATACAAAAGCCATCCAGGAAAGATTATTCAAGCAAAATACATGCTCATCCACTACCCACTTAGCACAGCAGCTCAAACAGGTAAGGTTGTCTGCGTTTAATACTTATTACATGTCCTCAGTGTAGAGTCTACGGAATAAATATGAGCCCCTCCTTTTCAAAAAGATGTATTTTTATTTTTTTAAAGATTTATTTATTTTATTTTTTATTTATTTATTTATTTATTTTTGATTTTTGTTTTTTCGAGACAGGGTTTCTCTGTATAGCCCTGGCTGTCTTGGAACTCACTCTGTAGACTAGGCTGGCCTCGAACTCAGAAATCCACCTGCCTCTGCCTCCCAAGTGCTGGGATTAAAGACGTGTGCCACCACCGCCCTGCTAATTTATTTATTTTATATATGTGAGTACACTGTAGCTGTCTTCAGACAGACCAGAAGAGGGCATCAGATCCCATTACAAATGGTTGTGGGCTACCATGTGTTTGTTGAGTATCGAACTCAGGACCTCTGGAAGAGTAGTCAGCGCTCTTATCTGCTAAGCCATCTTCCCAGCCCAAGATGTATTTTTATTTTAAGTGTATGTGTGCTTTGCTTGCCTATGTGCACCACAAACATGCAGCGGCTGCAGACACTAGAAGAGGGCATTAGATTTCCTTGAACTGGTGTTACAGTAGGTGGCAAGCTGCCAATGGGTTCTTCGAACTGAGCCTGAGTCCTCTGCAAGACAGAGCTCTTACCTACTGAGCCATCCATCAAGCCAAAATGTGAGTCTTTTTGACTTTGGGGAACATGTGATAGTTAATAAAACATATTCTGTAGCCAAGTGCTGGGATTAGAGTTGTGTGCTATCACATCTAGCTTTTAAAAAATGTTTACTAATATTTGGATATTCTTTTTTTTGTTTTTGTTTTTTTGGTTTTTCGAGACAGGGTTTCTCTGTGTAGCCCGGGCTGTCCTGGAACTCACTCTGTAGACCAGGCTGGCCTCGAACTCAGAAATCCTCCTGCCTCTGCCTCCCAAGTGCTGGGATTAAAGGCGTGCGCCACCACCGCCCGGCCCATATTTGGATATTCTTAAATGCTGTTGGTTCTTGAGTAAAATGCTGCCATATTTAATATGTTTAGGAACGTGAAAAAGAATTGGCATGTCTTCGTGGTCGATTTGACAAAGGCAATTTATGGAGTGCAGAAAAGGATGAAAAGTCAAGAAGCAAACAGCTAGAAACCAAACAGGTAATGTGAGCAGTAAATATAAAAGTTGCTGAGGTAAAGTAACAGTGGATTTTAATTTTTAGTTTTGAGAGGACAGGGTCTCTCAATCTAGCAGAGGCTGGCTACAGATTTGACATAATCCCCATGTGTCAGCCTCCCAAGTTCTTGGGTTATAGATGTGACCATGCCCAGCTTTCTAAAATAAATTTTGAATACCTTCCTTTCCTAATGAACTACTGTTTCTATTCCTCAGTCCTTGAATGTGCTTAACATTTCTTTTTTGTTGCTGTAGTCGATTAATCTGCTCTAATCTCCCCGTTCCTGGCTACCTGCCCCGATGTTTTGAATTCCAAAATGAAAGAGACACACACACACAGTGTTATATTTAATATGCCGTAAACAACTCCCTAACTTCCACACTGCTAACACCTCCCCTCCGATACTCCTGAGTTACTAATTTTTTTTTTTTTTTGGTTTTTCGAGACAAGGTTTCTCTGTATATCTCTGGCTGTTCTGGAACTCACTCTGTAGACCAGGCTGGCCTCGAACTCTCGAACTCAGAAATCTGCCTGCCTCTGCCTCCCAAGTGCTGGGATTAAAGGCGTGCGCCACCACCGCCCGGCTTCCTGAGTTATTACTTACTAAAATCTATATTCCATCTTTGCTCCTAGACCCATGTGGTTGTTGGGGGCTGGGTCTGCTCTTCCCTGGCTCTTACATGATTGGTATGCCTCTCTCCTGCTGCTCTCAGGCCTGGAGACCTTATCCCTTCTCTGGCATGGTAATTCTACATCCCCCTTCCTCTCTGTCCCCTTGCCCATGAGTCCTAAAGTCCTGCCTCTGTCTCCCTTCCCAGTCATTGGCCACTGGCAACTTTATTTACCAGTCAAAACCAGCTGAGTTCAAGGACCCTCAGTGCCTTACATGTGGGATTCTCATGCATTTGGGAATCCAAATAACACAATACAAGTTTTAGGCCAAGTCCACAACACTGTCTTTGTGCTAGTCTCCCATTCCCATCACACTCCGCAGCTCTTCTCTGATGACCTTACAGCCAACTCTTATTACCTACCCACTTTCAGATTCTTAGTACTCAACTCGATGCTGGTCCTAAAATACTTCTTAGAAGCTACATTTCTTGTTGGTGACTGTTCAACTTTTCTACTGTGGAGTCTGCTCCTCTCTTGTGAAAGCCCTGACTCTGAACATCTTGGGGAGGAAACAGGTTCTTATATCTTAAAGCCCGTCATAAAAGAGAGTCTGGCAAACATTGGAAGCAGGAACTAAAGCAGACAACATGAAGGGTACTGTTTACTAGCTTCCTCCCTGTGGCTAGCCCAGCCTGCTTTCTTATATGATCCAGGACCACCACCTGCCCAGGAATGCTACCATCCACAGCAGGCTAGGCCTTTCACATCAGTCACTAATCAAGAAAATATCTCAGACTTGCCTATAAGCCAATCTGATGGAGGGTGTCTTTGTTACTCTTCTGCTGTTACGAAGGCAACTTAGAGAAGAAAGCATTTAGTTGGGGTTTGCTTACAGCTTCAGAGGGTGTGTCCTTGGTGCTCAAGGCGAGTTGGTTGCTGCCAGGCAGGTGCGAGAGCAGTGACTTGAGAGTTTACATCTGATCTGCAAGATGTAGGCAGAGAACGTGCAAGACTGGGTTAGCTTCAGTGAAATTTTAAACCTCAAAGCCCACCACCAGTGACATACCTCCAACAAACTCCATACTCTTTAACCTTCCTCAGTAATCCACCAACTGGGAACCCTACATTCAGACATGAGCCAGTGGGGCCATTCTCATTCAAACCACCATAAAGTGTTTTCTCAGTTGAGGTTTCCTCTTCCCAGATAACCCTGGCTTGTCTCAATTTGACAAAAAACTAACCAGCGCACCCATATACCATGCCTTCAGTGTCTGCTATTTTTTGGGTACCTATATGCCTCCTGGTTGTCTCTTTACTCTAGTTAGTCTTCAACACATCCCTACTTACACACAAATGCAGGCACACTCAGATACATATACACTTCAGTATTTACTAAATCACTCCCAGTATGCTAGTCACTGCCATAGGTTACTTCCTTTTCTCTTCCCCACTTTCTTTCTCCTCCCTCTCCCTTTCTTTTCAAGTTCATCCATGATTTTCATTGACCAGTTTCAGATCAATTAAAATTCATTGGATGACTTATTAGCAGTATTCAGCATTACCAATGAGTTTTCTGTTTAAAGACCACCATCATTTGGCTACCACAGAGCTAGATTCCTACTGTTTTTCTCCCATGTCCCTGGAGACAGGAGTCTTTAGATTATTTTGTACTAAATAGTTCCTGTAATACTTATGCATGTGAACAAACTTCTGAGCAGGATACTAACAGGGAGTTCAGATGTTTCCTTCCCTAGAAACTCATTTGTTTACTACAAAAGGAGGAAAGGAGTAGCTAAAACAGGTTGGAAAATACATGAGTATCACTGTCTTAGTTAGGATTTCTATTACTGTGAGGAGATTCGGGCTCACTTACAGTTTAGAGCTTTAGTCCGTTATCATCCTGGCCAGAAGCTGGCAGCATCCCGGCAGACATGGTACTAGAGAAGGAGCTGAGAATTCTACATCTGGATCATCAGGTAGCAGGAAGACAGAGCCACTGTGCCTTGATGTGAGCTTCTGAGACCTCAAAGCCTACCCGGTAGTGACACATCTCCTCCAACATAAGTCACATCTCCTCTAGGAAGGTCACACTCCCATAGTGCTATGGGGCCATTTTCATTTAAAGTACTGCAGTCATTAGAATCTACAGAGATGGGATGTTTTTGAGAAACATGGGATGCTTTTGTGCACTGAGGGTTGAAATGAGTCAACTGAGGTTTGTTTATTTGGTGTTTGTGCATGCTGAGGTTTCCAGTATGACGTGTGCTGTGATGTGTCGGGTGAGGACTGCAGGGAGAAGAAGGATGGCAGCTTGAGGAGAGCAGAGCCAGGTAGTGCAGGGACTTAATGAACATTTGTCTAAAGGGAGGAAGAAAGGAGATGGTGCTAGAAAGCATGAAAAGGCAAAGCTGTTTGAATTACTTTGTAAATTGAGGTAAATTTTAGTGTTGATGGAAAGGAGTTAGGAAGTAAGATGCTAAGATAAAGGAAAAGCTGTAATTGATTGATAAGGAGGAGAATCCTCTGTGAGAAAGAAAGCAAGTTGGAAACTGCAGGTCCTGGTAGCTCTGGAGGCAGAACACTGTCAACATCTGGGACCACTGCTGACCACTGCTGGGAATGGGAGGTACTCACTTCTGCGTGGAACATGGCAGGTGAAATACTTGGAAGAAGAGAGGGCTAACCTGGAAACAAGGGATCCAGATGGTAGAACAGAGAGAGATTCAGTCAGGTTCTGCGCTAATTGCTTTACCATGACGAAAAGCAGCTTAAGAAGAAAGGGTTGCTTTGAGACAGTTCCACTGGACAAGGTTGGTTGTGGTGGAAGTCATGGCAGTAGTCAAAGTAGATGGAGGCAGGAGCTCCAGTCACACTTCATTCACAAACAGGAAGCACAGCAGCAAGTAGGTGAGGCTGTTCCCAGTGACATACTTCCTCAGCAAGGCTCCATATCCTAACGGTTCCAAAACCCCCAAATAGTACATGCAGCTGGGAGCCGTGTCAAATACACAAGCCTGTGGGGGTGTTTTCATTCAAATCACCACAGGCCATGAAACCATGCATTTATATTATAACCAAATTGCACAGGTCCAGCCGGAGTCTAGGGGTAGATCTGAAGAATTTTGGTTGGTTCTGGGTAGGGTTTTCTCAGATAAGAGGTCTAAATGTTTGAGTGAAATAAACAAACTGAAGTCATTGGGAAGTGGTTGCAGTGAAGAGTTATGAAGTCCACCTTGGGTGGAGGGGTAAGAAAATAGAAACAAGGAAGAAAAGCATCTAATGACCAAGAGGCAAGAACGACCACTGGTGGGATCCTTGAGCAAGGGGTGTGGAGGCAGGGAGAAGTCGGAGGCATGCTTAGGATGGGGTGTATGGAGAAGCACACACTGTTTCTGGAGAGGCTAAGTTGGAGTGATGGTGAAGGATTTTGGAGGTGACATGTTCATCAGCTGGCAGGCCAAGGTATTGCTTGGTGTCACCTTGGGGATGCAGGTTTTGAACTAGAGAAGTCCCTGGGGAGTTAAGAGAAGAAACTTGTGAGTTACTGATACTAAGAAGTTTCCGTGGAACCTTTGGTCCTGGAGTGCACTAAATTCTAGTGGCTGGGTCTTGGAGTAAGAGTTTTAAAGGCAGACTAGTAAGACACTGAAGAGGGTGCTGTGCGCATGCTGTGGGGCTCACATGGGAACCTGTTTCAGAGCTTTGTGGTTTCTGTAGGAGCTGGGTTTGTATTAGGGCTGAAAGTGAAGGGTGTTTGTTTACCATGCAACAACATTGTTTCAGTCAGACTAGTGGGGAGAAGAATATGGGGGTAGTACGTCATTAGAAGAGTACCTACATATTGGTCGTTTGCAATGTGCTGGGGCTCTGGTGGTCACTTTTAAAATATCACTAAATCTGCCAGGCAGTGGTGGCACAGGCCTTTAATCCCAGCACTTGGGAAGCAGAGGCAGGTGGATTTCTGAGTTCGAGGCCAGCCTGGTCTACAGAGTGAGTTCCAGGACAGGACAACCAGGGCTACACAGAGAAACTCTGTCTCGAAAAAACAAAAAAACAAAAAAAAAAACAAAAAAAAGAAACAAATATATATATATATATATCACTAAATCTTTCTAATAACAGTAAGTAATGGTTTTTTTTTTCTTTCCTGTCTGGTAAACATGAAGCTCGGGCTTCTAAGCAGACCCTTATGCTCCTACAGCCCTGCCTTTTATATGCAGTTCTTACTCTCGGTAGTGACCACAGCCGAAGGAAGCAGAGTGCACTGATTTTGTTGTGTGTTTTTTTTTCTTTTTCTCCAAAGCTTTGAGAAAGTGGGTAGCTGTTTTCTATTCTCAAAGTTATCACTTAGCAAATGTTTGAGTAAGCAAGTTAACATGCAGGCTATCACAGCATGGAGTCTCTTCTCTCAACAGAAGCACATTTTTCTTTTGTCTTGTCTTAATTTCCTTTCCCCAAATGTCTCGCTCACTTTAAAAGTATTATGTCTACAACATTTAAGGGTTTACTCTGTATTTTATAGAGTCACACACACACACACACACAGAGAGAGAGAGAGAGAGAGAGAGAGAGAGAGAGAGAGAGAGAGAGAGAGAGAGAGAATATTACAGAGTTATAGTTATGCATATAGTTATATACACAGAGTCATGTAGCATCTGAAGCCTCTCGTTTGGGAGACATTCTCATCTGGAGCTAGATGGAGGTTTGTGTCCTGGCTGCCAGTTACTAACCATGTGTACAGCGCCTTAGCTCTTCTGTGCCTGAGTTCTCATTGACAAACAGAAATAATGTGTTCTAATCTGGGGGACTGGGCGGGTTGGCTGAGGCAATGACACACTTAGTAAGTGACAGGCCACATCCTAAGCCTGTGTGCATTCGCTGCTGTTATTCTTACCCTGATGCTTTCTGGTATTTCTGTAATTGTAAAATGTGTTCTTGGTTTTTGAGACAGGGTTTTGCTGGCAGCACAGCCTGCTCCAGAACTCCCTGTATAGCCAGGCAGGCTTCAAACTTGCAATACTTTTTTTGACACCTGCCTTCAGAGTGTTGGGAATATAGATGTGTGCCATCGTGCCTGGCCACCACAGACTGTCTCCCCATGCAGGGTGAGAACAGCGTAGTGAGTACATTGCACATTAGTGGTGGGCTGGGCAGTAACTAGGCCTGTCAGTCATGAAGCTTTAAACACGGCAATGCATGATTCTCCTCTTACTTTCTTCCTGACTATTGGATTTGTTTTTATCCTTCGTGTTTTCTTTGAATTTTATCCTTTGAGTAAATGATCATTAAATAAAATCTTCATGTCAGAGCTGTCTCTAGATTGTATAGGCAAGGGCTGATTAAAAATGACAGGAGAAATTGTTTTTGTGTGGCTTTTACTTTGGTTTATATAAAACTGAACTCTGAAATGAATTTTCATTCTTTCTCATTTTCTAGTCTTTTAAAGATTTTATATACTTGGAGTCTTATACACTGGAAATTATTAAAAATGGCCTGAGTGCCAGGCAGTGGTGGCACACGCCTTTAATCCCAGCGCTTGGGAGGCAGAGGCAGGTGGATTTCTGAGTTCGAGGCCAGCCTGGTCTACAGAGTGAGTTCCAGGACAGCCAGGACTACACAGAGAAACCCTGTCTCGAAAAAACAAAACAAAACAAAAAAAGATGGCCTGAGTGTTTTTAGTTAGTATACATTATTTCTTTCATTCTCAAAAACATATAGAATATTAATTTATTGATAGTCTTATTTAATAACATATAGTTAAGATTTGTAATTCTGAGAAATAGAATTTGCCTCTCCGTTTGCTTTTTACAGGAAGTTCACTGTCAGAGCACTCCCCTCAAGAAACATCAAATTGTCTCAAGCACCCCACCAATTTCTGTAACAGAAAAGGTGGCTGACAATGAAACAGCAGTGAAGATTTCTAGTACAGAGCCTGCAGGTCAGTGCTCCGGTGCCACACAGACATAGCTGTGTCCTACAGCAGATGCTCAGAGATGGCTCAGAGAGTGAATGCTGCTGTGTTGTGCCTAGCTAGTGCTGTCTGCCTCCTCACCAGCTCTTCATGTCTACCGCTTAGTTCTTCCCCAGTAAGAACTCCCTCTTGGCTATGCGTTGTCCTCTTCCCAAAAAGAGAAGGGCTTTGTTCTCACTTACAACTCTTGAAAAATACACTCTATCATGGCAGAGGCAGCAGAGCTCTGCTCCCCTTCCCTCCCCTCTACCCCTCCCCTCTACTTCCCTCCACTTCTCTCCATTCCCCTCCCCTTCTGCTCCTCTCCACCCCTCTCTTCTCTTCTCCCCCCATCTCTTCCTTCCTCTTTATCCAGCTCTCATTTCCCTTCCCCGCTCGCTCTCCTTTCTTTTAGGAGATAGAATCTTACTGTGTAACCCAGACCAGCCTAGAAGTTTGTTTTTCAAGACTGGGTTTCTCTGTGTAACCCTGGCTGTCCTGGAACTCAACTCGATAGACAGTGCTGGGCTCAAATTTACATAGACCTACCTGCTTCTGCCTCTTGAGTCTGGGATGGGATTATCAACATTTTGAATTTTTTCCCTTCCTTTCTCTGCCCCAATCCCCCCCGAATCTCCCGAGGACACAGTCTCACCATGTAACCTTGAGGTCTTGAAACTCTTACATCGACCTGGCCTTGAACTCATAGAGATTCTTCTGCCTTTGCTTCCTGAGTGTTGAGATTAAAGTGTACACCACTGCAACTGGCAAATTTTATTTTAATGTGAGATAAAAAAAGAATCACATGAACTTGACTAGCTTTAGCTAAGCATGGTTACACATGTCTGAAATCCCAGAACTCTGGGGGAAGAAAGGATTGCTGATTTTTTTAAAACTAAGCCTCAGCTTCATAGTGAGACACTGTCTCAAAAAAAGACCCCTCACCCCAAACAATCTTACCAATTTAATTGCTTTTAGGCCCATATTTCAGTAGTGTTACATATATTCATTTATCATTGATTTTTTAGAAATTTGTTATCTTACAAAAATTGAAACTGTACTTATTAAGCAAAACTTCTTTCCTGTATCAACCTGTTTCACTTTGTTGCTGTGAATGTCTTCTTTAACTACGTCATGAATAGAAACATGCAGTCATCCCTCTTTACCTTCAGGGATGCAGTCCAAGATCCTGTGGGTGAAGCTTAACGTATGACTTCACCTGAATTCCCTAAAGAACTCAAGCTTCTTCCTGCATACCCTGTGGTGTTTTCACAGGAATAGAATTGTACAGCGTAGTGTGGATTTGTGGATTTCCTGGCTTTGGTTGACAAAAGATAACTGAAACTATGGAAAGTGAGGCTCTGGGTGGAGGAGCACCACTGTGTGTGCTTGGCACAGACATGGTGTGTGCTTGGCACACCGGTTACTCATTCTCTGTGGGTACACTTCCTGCAGCTGCTGCAGTTGTGGGTTTCCCTCTTACAGTCTCTGGAGAAGTGCCTGGAAATCGGAAATCGAATCATTGCATCATACTGTGGTAGCACTTTCAGTATTTTATGTTTTCACCAACAATGCACAAAACTCTAAGATTTTCTGCTTCTTACCAGCATTGTCTTCAGTTTTGAGTGGTTTTTGTTGATCTTTTAGTTTTGGGTAGTAGCCATCTTAATTTGTGTAAGAAAAATCTCATTGTGTTATTTATATTTCTCAATAGTGATAGTGAACATTTTTCATATTCTTTGTGGTCATTTGTATTTTATCTTTGAGAAAATTACTTAATTCTTAATGGGTTGAGTTATTGCTATGTTCTAGACGGTAACCTATTCATCAAGCACATGATTTACAAATGTCTTAACTTGTTTCATAGATTGCTTTTCTGTCCTCACTGTTGAGTGTATTCTTTGCTTTAAAAAAAAAAAAGTTAAACTTCTAGTTTTTTGTTTTGTTTTGTTTTGTTTTTCGAGACAGGGTTTCTCTGTGTAGTCCTGGCTGTCCTGGAACTCACTCTGTAGACCAGGCTGGCCTCGAACTCAGAAATCCGCCTGTCTCTGCCTCCCTAGCGCTGGGATTAAAGGCGTGTGCCACCACTGCCCGGCAAACTTCTAGTTTCGTGGTTCTATTTTCTTTTGTTACTTCTTCTGTTTGTTTTAAATATAGGAAATTACAGAAAAATTCAACATGAAGCCTTTTCCCTGTCCTTTGTTTAAAAATTTGATTTACAGTTAAATCTTACATTAGTATTTAACCCTTTTTGCTATTTTTTAAATATATGAGAGTCTATCTTCAATGCTTTGTGTATGGCAGAGAAAGTACCCCTGAGCTGAGCCCAACTGTGTAAATAAGTTTTTTAACAGGAAATATGAATCCTTTAACTTTGTGCTTTTTCAGAAAGGTCTTGAATAATCAGGAGGCCTTAAATTCTTTATAAATTTGTAGGTGCTTTTCTGTTCCTGGAAAGAGATTTTGATAGAGGTTGCATTGAGTGTCCAGATCTATGTGGCATGCTGGCCTTTTACTAAATCTTTTCTTCTGTTTGTGTCTTTATTTCCCTTTGTAGTATTAATATTTACCAATAAATTCCAGCATGGGGTCTTATGTTCCCGAATGAAAGACGCACACACAGCCTCTATATTTTAATATGCCCTAAGCAGTACAATAGCAGGGCAACTAACTGGTTAACCTCCATTCTGCTAGACTCTGCCTCCCACCAATAATGCTGAGTTAGTACTTACTGATTTCTAAGTTCCATCTTGGCTGCTCTTGACTCTGTCAAGCAGCCCTCTGAGCTGTGTCTCTCAGGCCCCTTACATGGCAGCTCTTCCTGCCACACACACCTCAGGAATGGCATCTCTGTCCTCGTGCTTCCTTGGAGTCCTGAGCCCAGGAACTCTAAACCCCCGCTCTGCCTCTCTTCCCCTGGTAGTAGTTCCTGGCATCTTTATTTACCAATCAGAGTTAACTGGGGGCAGGTTCCCAGAAGCTATGTGCAGACTCTCTTATGCAGACAGTTTTAGAGGGACAATTAGCATTAGAATACAAGCAGCAAGTCTCTTAAGCAGAATTTTGTTGCTTTTAAGATAAAATTTGTTTGGCTCTTTGATGGAGTTTATTCCCAAGTATTTTCTCCTTTTTGATGCCTTTTCATCTAGCCAAAGTTGTAGTCAATGATCCCCTTGAGCTTCTGATTCTTCTCCCTCCACTTCCAAGTGCTGGGATTGCAGGTATGCCACACCACTCGGGCTGCATGCAGTGCTGATTTGGAGCGCTCTGGCTTCATGAGTGCTAGTCAGGCACTCTGCCAGCTGAGCGGTGTCCTCGCTCCCCTTTGTTGGTGTTATTATCATAGAATTGGCTTTGAGAATTTCTTCTCAGATGTTTACTCTCTGTGTAGATGTGTGTGTGTGTGTGTGTGTGTGTGTGTGTGTGGTTTTGGTATCTTTCAGACTGTTATACTCTATAGCCTGTGCTGCCTAGAAGTTACTGTGTAGCCCAGGGTATCTTTGAATTCACTCCAATCCTGCTACAGCCTCATGAAGTGTAGGATGTCAGGGTTGAGCTTTGTTGATGTTGTCTGCTTTAACTTGGATGAATTTACTAATTTATTACTTGTTACAGGTCGTGTTCTGCTCTCTCTCTCTCTCTCTCTCTCTCTCTCTCTCTCTCTCTCTCTCTTTCTCTTCTGTCTTTTTGTTTTTGGTTTTTTTTTTTTTTTTGGTGGCATTTTTAGGATTATTAACATTAGATGATGCTGTCTGTGAGCAGAAGTAGTTGTGATTCTGTTCTAATTTGGATGACTTTTATAATGTTTTTTAATTCCTTTGATAAGACTTTAAAACGTGTGTTAGCTTCAGTAGGGAGAGCAGGCATACTTCCCGTTTTCAATGTCTTCATCAGTGTGTCAGCTGAGGGCTTTTCATACCTGGTCTATTACATGAGGAGGTTCTCTTCTGGTCCCAGACTTTATGGTTTTGTTGACAATTTTACTAAAGGCGAAAACTAATTATGAAACAGTCTGAATAAAAGAATCACTCATAATATTGGTGTCCTTTTTCTTTTTGGGTGGGGAGGAAAACAGGAAGTTAGAGAAAACAGATGTAGTTCTCTATTTCTTGATTTAAATATTTTAAAATAAAGACACAGCTTGGTAATAAAGATTTGTGACTACATGGTTTTATATTTCAGGCATCTGTACACATACGGGCATGTACATGTGCATACATTAATTTGTTTTTTCTCAAACATTTTTTAAAGGCTCCACTGAAAGCAAAATGACAAAGTCCAGCCCTTTGAAAATAACATTGTTTTTAGAAGAGGAAAAATCCTTAAAAGTAGCGTCAGACCCGGAGGTTGAACAGAAGACTGGTTGGTTTATAGTCTTTATTTCTTTTTGGCTCTAGACACACTATAAGAAATAATTCAGTAATATAAGAATAATGTTATGGTCGTAAATGTTCTATGATTTCAAAATAACCTTTATTTTCAAGCTAAAAAATACTGTAGCCTCCATTAAGATGTGGTACTGTTAACAGTTACTGTTAGTTTACTCTGTCAAAATTACCCAGTGGTGTTAAATGTTTTCCTGTACTGACTGTTGTGTGTTTCTCCTAACTATAGAAGAGACTTATTTTGAAAATGTTTTTTGAGGTTATTTATTTGTTTATTTGCTTATTTTTTGTATTCAATGCAGGGTTTCTCTGTAACCTTGCTTGTCCTGGGACTCTCTCTATAGACCAGGCTAGCCTTGAGCTCAGAGATCTGCCTTCCTCTGCCTCCTTTAAGTCCTGGGATCCATCACCACTGGGAGAGATTTATTTTTAAATTGTGTGTTTATCTGTGTGTGGGTGTGTTTACACGACTGTAAGTGCCTGCAGAAGCCTGAAGAGACTGTCCTATCCCTTTGATCTGGATTTACAGGTCATTGTGAGCTGCCCATTATGAGTGCTAGGAATCAAATTTGAGTCCTAGTATAGTACAAACCAAGCTATGTGTCTAGTCCTTGAAACATTGTTTTTTTGAAAGTTAGAATCTGCTGGGCAGTGGTGGCGTATGTCTTTAATCCCAGCACTTGGGAGGCAAAAGGCAGGTGGGTTTCTGAGTTCGAGGCCAGCCTGGTCTACAGAGTGAGTTCCAGGACAGCCAAGGCTATACAGAAAAACCTTGTCTCGAAAAACCAAAAAAAAGAAGAAGAAGAAGAAAGTTAGAATCTTGTGTTCCTGCTTAAAACCAAAATCCAAAGCATTAAGGTGTTTTTTTTTTTTTTTTTTTTATCTAATCTTTATATCTTGGAAAATATTTTAGAACTTTTTAAATCTGAGGAGAGTTCAGCTTTAGTTTGATTTTTTATTTAGTTTTATTTTTTATTATGTTAGAGGCTGTCCTCTCTACCTTGTTGTTAAGTGATTTTTCTTAGGATAACTGTATTTTAGGAAGCATGAAAACTCAGCCTCCTCTGCTACCTTGGATCATAGTATCTCCCCACTGAAATCTTTTTCAGAAGTAGTACGTGAAGTTGAGATGAGTGTGGACGACGAGGATATCAATAGCTCCAGAGTCATTAACGACATCTTCAGTGATGTCCTGGAGGAAGGGGCACTGGATGTGGAAAGGAGCCAAGAGGAGATGGACCAAGTGGGGGCAGAAAACAGTGAGGAGCAGGAAGATGCCCTGAACATCTCCTCAATGTCTTTACTTGCTCCACTAGCTCAGACTGTCGGTGTGGTGGATCTAGAGGTAAGAAAAGGCTATCCTTACTCAGGCTCACAGGACAGGAGACTCAGTAAGACTACGTATCTCCTCCACTGTTGGTCATTACACATTTGGCAGTGTAGCCAGTGGCTTTGTAAATCTGATAGAATTTGTTTAGAATGTAAAACTAATGATTTCCTATGACCTCAGGTAAACATTAACATAGCAAGCATGCCCTCGCAAATCCTGGTTGTAGCATTTTATAATTGTGACTTTTCTATGACATGGTTCTCTCAGCTGATGAACCAGGTCAATAACAATACCTACATTCTAGGGCTGATGTAATTATTAATTCACAATTATATTTAGGACCAGAAATTCAACTGACATTGAATCCTAACTTCTACTAATGAGTAGAAGTCCTGCTGAGTCCTAACTTCTGTTAATGGCATCACCCTAAACTTATCTGGGGATGGCCTCAATTAGAGGTGACTTTTTTTTTTTTTTGCTATTCGCTTTACATCCTACTCACTGCCCCCTTCTTCCTGGTCACCTCCTCCCACAATCCTTTCCCCTCCTCCCTTCCCTTCTCTTCTGAGAGGGTGTGTCCCCCCACCCCCGATTCCCTCCACCCTGGCACTTCCAAGTTTCTGTAATTTCCTCTCCCATTGAAGCCAGACAAGGCAGCCCAGCTAGAAGAACATATCCCACGTATAGGCAATTAGAGATACTTTTCTTTAAAAGGTTTTATTTGGTTGTCTTTTCCGAGTGTGGGTTTGTTTGTTTGTTTGTTTGTTTGTTTTGTGTGAGACAGGATCTCATGAAGCCCAGGGTAAGGGTATCCTTGTATTTGCTGTTAGGTCAGTGTAGCAAGAATTGCAGCTTCAATTCATGAACTTTCTAAGTCTTTATAACAGGGTCAAGTACATCTTTATTAGTCAATATAGGAACTATTATAATTAACACATTTTTTGACAGTGAGAAATAAGTTTATTTAATCCTGTTGAAAAACATCTGTGCATTAGGATTCAACAAATTTTGAAAGCATTTTCTGTGTCTTGCTGGGTTGTAGATGCATTGTTTCTGCAAAAAGTGTTGAGATGCTCAAGTAAGCAGTAGCTGCTTGAGTAGAAGTCAGATGAATGTGGTGCATGAGGCAGGACTGTGGGTCAGCTAGTTCAACCGAAAAAAGATCTGTTCCTTCATTTTTATTTTACATGTTGGACATTTCGCCTGAGTGCTTATCTATGCTTCATGTGTGTGCAGTGTGACTGGACATGGTGGTTGTGAGCCACCACGTGGTGCTGGGAATTGAACCCTGGTCCTCTAGAAAAACAGCCATTGCTCTTAACCACTGAGTCATCTCTCCAGCCCCTAGTTTAGCTTTTGAAGTTCGGCTCAGTCTGGCTTTGTGAAGAACTGGGCCTTTTCTGTGGGCCAGAGCAGGCAGTAGTCCTGCTTGCCATCGCTTTGCTAATTTGTGCTTTTTATCCAGTTACTTTGTAGCAGCTTAATCTATTTTGTTTTTATTATAAATCAGCAGACTTGTTAGATGTGAATTTCCTAATAGCAGAAAACAATGAATTATGTTTCAGAATTAAATGAGGTATTATTTAGGATCGATGATGTCCCTCCATAACTGCTGGTATGTAAATCCTCAGTGAGGTGACATGTCTGTAGACCCACGTGTCAGGAGGTTGTGGCAGGAAGATGGAGCGCTCGAGGCTAGCCTAGATGACATAGTGAAGGTCACCTCTCTTAAATGAAAACAGAGTATAGAAAAGCAATGTTGAGAACAGGTCTAATATCTCATCACTGTCTTTCTTTTCTCTAGAATGTAATTGCTTCACCTAAATCGGAATTGAGAGACACGAGCCTAAGTGCCGAAAGTCCTAAACCAGGAAAATTCCAGAGAACCCGTGTCCCTCGAGCCGAATCTGGTGATAGCCTCAGTTCTGAGGACAGGGACCTTCTTTATAGGTATGGCTGTTTGGGGAAGGGCTCCCCTCACTGAGTTGTTTTAGATTGACAGGGGGAGTGTTAAACTTAGGTGGTGTTTATAGCATCTCTGGGTAAGGTTGAGATAACTTTTTGTGGCCCTGGGGTTTGAACCAAGGCTTCAGGCATGCCAAGCAGGAAGTCAGCCCCTGAGTGGAAACTGCAGCCTGGGGTCACTTCTATCAGTTTTACTTTCCCCAAACGATACTTCCATGTTGGGAAACATTGTGTATATGTTTTAAGTATGAAGTTCAGTTTCTGTTGATATGTTTTATAGACTATTGTTCCTGGATTTTTTTTTTTGTTGTTGTTGTTGTTGTTCCTGGATTTCTAACAGTAACATTTTTCCCCCTAAAGCATTGATGCATATAGGTCTCAAAGATTCAAGGAAACAGAACGCCCTTCCATAAAGCAAGTGATTGTTCGAAAGGAAGATGTTACTTCAAAATTGGGTGAAAAGAATAATGTCTTTTCTGGTCAAGTTAATATCAAACAAAAAATGCAGGTATGCTCTGGCATGGGAAGGTATTTTTGGACTGTTTAGAACTCGATTGTGAGCTTGCAGCCCTACTAATCTCAACCTGAGTGACTGCAGTGGGGACTGATGCACGGGAGCCAAGCTACTCTTGGATTCACCATGGAGTAGAACATGTAGTGTAGTGATTACCTAGCGCATGGGAGGCCCTGGGTTCAATCCCCAGCACCTCCTCCCCTCCCAACATAAGGATAACTATTGGTTGGATGATAGAATGTGTGAGACTTAACTGTGGTCTTCAAGGGGTTTTGCTAAAGAAAACATTTTTTTCTGTTTGGTGGTGCTTTCTGTATGGGCACTGGGGTTCTGAACTCAGATACCAAGGCTTGTGCTGCAGACACTTTGCCAACTTACCTATCTCGAGCCCCTCACTGAATGTTGTTTTATATGGCACTCAAGTCAGCACAATAGCAATTCTAAAATCCATATATGGATTTTATAACTATAATCTAAAGTTATTATTAGTTACTAATGGACAGTAATAGGAAAATATTAGGTCATTATGTTATTTATGTGTTTGGTTATTTTGAGACAGGGTCTCATGATGCTGTCTTAGCTGTCCTGGAGCTTGTTATATAGACCAGGCAGGCCTCAACTTCATAAAGACCTGCCTATTTCAGCCTCCCAAGTGCTGAGATTAAAGGTCTGTTATGCTTTATAGGAGTACAAAGTTCTGCATATATAATAAAATTTCATTTCATAACATAAGGTTTGACCTTCATCCCAGCAGAGTTAGGAGCTGAAGGAGGTAAGAAGATAGTTTGGCTTAACCCAACTCAGTGGCCTGGTGTTTGTCCAAATGTCAGGAGTTTATTTTAAGCATATTTAAGCACAGCACAGTTTGTTGAAAGTTATTCTGGGGATAATTTAACTCAGTCCTGCATGCATAACAAAGTATACAGAAATCTGCCCAAGGACAAATGAGACATGACTTCATCATAGCTATGTTGTAACATCCATAAAGATAGATTCTATGGATTGGCTGAGAAAAACAAATTTTACCATAAGGATCTAGGGAGGGCCTGATGGTGAAAAATCTGTAGTCGCACAGATAGTGCAAAGGTCACCAGGCTAGAAAGAGTGCTTGCTCCAGCCTTCTGTGCCAATAAGAAGATTTTCTCTCTTTCCCTTGAGGAACAACTCCATGTGCTTAACAGTCCAGGTTCCTCTAGTGAATGTTTGAGCACAAACACCTCCGTGCCACCACAGTCAGTCATCACACTGTGGATTATATTCACTGGTATAAACACTGTGATTCAAAAGGATTGCCACAGGAAAGGTTGCAGTGCACACTAGAAACATCTTGGATTTATCACATAATTTGATTTTCAGTAATTTTTTTTTTTTTTAGTTTTTTTCTAGACAAGATTTCTCTGTATAGCCCTGGTTGTCCTGAAACTCACTCTGTAGACCAGGCTGGCCTTGAACCCACAGAGATCCACCTGCCTCTGCCTTTCTGGTGCTGGGATTAAAGGCACGTACTACCTCCATTCGGCTTGAATCAATGTTTGATTGTGTTCAGAACCTTTTACTGGTGTTTCATACTTTTGTGATGCTCACAGTTATGTGACCCACAGCTTAAGAATCTGTGATCTAAAAACTCACACAGTAAAACTGATTCTGACTTTTCTAAAAATGTTGGAAATTATGCAGTCAGATTAAATAAAGTGGTAATGGTGATTAAAGACATGGATTTTCTTCTTTCTGTGATTTCACTAGGAGCTCAATAATGACATAAATTTGCAGCAGACAGTGATCTATCAGGCCAGTCAGGCTCTCAACTGCTGTGTTGATGAAGAACATGGGAAAGGATCCCTGGAAGAAGCTGAAGCGGAAAGACTTCTTCTGATTGCAAGTATGTGTGCTGCACGTTCCTGTCTGTGCCTTCATCTATGGTGACAATGGAGCATGCTAAGGTGGGAAGGTGATGCCATATAAGAAAACCGATGAAAACCTGGAGCACCATAAGCAGTTTGGAAACAGACAAGGAAATGAGATCCTACCCAGTAGTTCCACCAGAGAGACAGCAATTGATTTTGTCTGTTCTTTTGTTCAGTTCCCTTTTCAGTGAATTTTCCTGATTTGGCTCTTTCTCAGAAACATTTACAGCCTTAATATTTGCAATATTTAGTTGCATATTTTATATTCACAGCTGAGAAAAGAACACTTCTGATTGATGAACTGAATAAGCTGAAGAGTGAAGGACCTCAGAGGAGAAACAAGGCCGGTGTCATATCCCAGAGTGAATTTGTCCCATCTAAAGGGTCAGTCACTTTGTCAGAAATCTGCTTGCCTCTGAAGGCAGATTTTGTCTGCAGCACTGCACAAAAACCAGGTATGAGTCTGGTTCTCGTGGTAAATTGAAGAGTTTACCTAGATGGATTTGCTTGAGAAAGACATGAGGAAAGCGTGCTTTACAGTACAAAGCTTCCATCTTCTGTCTTCCTTCCTCATATTAAAGTATAAGACCATTGGGGAAATTTTACAGATATGCTTATCAACACATGCAAGTATGACATTACTGTCTCAAAATAAGGCTAAACATAATTATGACAGATAACATTCTCCGAAGCTGAGTTCTTTTGACAGAAGATTTCATTAATTAGTTCTGTTATGAAAATGTGCCAGATCACTTAAAAGAAGTTATTTTACTTTATTCTAGTAAAAATTCAACAAATTATAGATGTTCCTTCTAGAAATTTTGAATTATTGGTTGTATGACTGATGATTGCTCAGTGAATGCTTCTATTGAGGGTATCTTTGCTGGATTAGATAATCACAGCAGTGGTCTAAATTGTCTATTCTACTAAAAATCATATGAAGTCAAGTGAGCACAGAGTAATATGGCAGCAGACTCTGGAAACAGGACAATTTCTAGAAAACTCAACAAAATTAAAAGTGTGAAACCTTGGATGAAAGTTAAGATTTTTTTTTTTTTGCATTTTTATTTGATTAGAACTTTATCTCTATAGGTAAAGAAGTCTAAAAAAAAAGTGAGAAGCTTTTGAGTTTTAGGGAAAATAAGAAAAGCCCTGTAAATGTTTGAGCCTTCTGTGGGAACTGGTGGAGTAACCTGTAATCTCAGTTACTTGGGTAGCTGATTAGAAGATTGTCAGCTCTAGGCCAGACCCGACGACAACTTAGTGACACCTTGTGTTTCAAAACAAAATTTAAAAGGGGTAGGGCTGTAGTTGGTGATACAGTGTTGCTGTACATGTATGAGTCGCCCAATTCAGTCTCTAGGACTTTAAGAAAACATTTTTTTAAAATATCCAGTGGATATGGTGACTCATGTTTATAATCCCAGAATTTGGGAAGATTGCAAAAGTATATTTCTCAAATCAAATTTAAGGCCAGCCTCAGTTAGAGAATGAGTTTCTGTTATCAAACAAATGAAGAGAGAGTTTGGGCATTATTGTAGGAATGAGCTAATTTAGGTTATGATTTTTGCTGTTGCCTGATTTTAGTATAATTCAGAAAACTTGGTGATTTAGTCTTCGATATATATTTATGTAGTAATAAAAAGTGAAGAAATAGTTCATGTTTTTATTAAATATTATCCCTAGATATATCTTCAATGGGTCTTAAATCTCAAGTTTGAAACCATAAATCATATAATTCATCGTTTGGAGGTATATGCTAGCTACTGCTAAGTGGGTTGTAGCGGAGAGTGAGGAGTGAGAATGGAGGTGCTTTCTGCTTTGTGTTGTTAGCAGACCTTGATGCTTATCCAGGGCTGTGGGGATCAGATTGCATCTTTCTTCGCTTTTTGTTCTGAGAAATTTAAGGTTTTATGTGAGTTGGTCGCAGTGTGCCTCTGGTCTTCCAGAGTGCTGCTGCTGCTAAGTGTGTTGTTCCACTGTGATTTGTTCTTGCAGATGCAGCCAACTACTACTACTTGATTATGTTAAAAGCTGGGGCTGAGCAGATGGTGGCCACCCCGCTAGCGAGTACTGCCAGCTCTCTCAGTGGTGATGCGCTGACGTTTCCCACTACATTCACTCTGTAAGTAAATTGAGCATCTCATGGTTCAGACACATTTTTCTTTTAATAGAGCTAAGACAGTCTCAGCATCTGAGTGGCATTTATCATCTTGTTTTCTCTACTGTAGTGCATGAGATGGAACTGAGGGCTTTTTTATGCTAAACATTCATTCTATCAGCAAGCTATATCCCAGACTTTTATAGTACTTAAAATACATTTACATGTGTTTGCTAACTTATTATAACTAATGCAGCATTTTATTAGCATACATAATCTCATGACATTCTCATCTCTGTATGTAGCATACTTTTGGATCTATGAAGTCCCCACTACCCCTTCTTGTCTCATCTCACTCCTGCTGGTTCCCTTCTTTCTCCTCAGCTGTCTCCTTCTACTTTCAGCCCTTTCTTTCTTTTTGGTAGTGTTGGAAATCACACCCAGGGCCCCATGTGCTAGCCAGCGAGTTTCCTCTAGGATTCCTTATAGATGCATGAACTGCCTATCAGTGATCAACCCACTAAAACAAATATCTCCCCTCCTGTAAACATCTGCCAGTGTCTCCTCAGAAGAAATGAGCCCTTGTGAGCACCTCTCCCAAATATTATTATTGTTATTATTATTAAATTCATTTGTGAGGCACTGGAGAAGTGGCACAACAGTTAATAGCTCGGGCTGTTTTACCAGAGGACCAGGTTCAGTTCGCAATATCCTCATTACAGAGGATCCAGTGCTCTCTTCTGGCTTCTGCAGCCGTCGCTTGCCTATGGTACACAGACATACTTGTAGGCAAGTCACCCACACACATAAAGTAAAAATTATTAAATCCTAAAAAAAGTTACTTATGGTTATCATCACTGTGTGCATGGTATACATGCATGAGACGAGTGCGTGGGTTTGTGGTAAAAGCTCCTGTGTAGAAGTTAGAGGATAACTGGAGACTGCTCTCTCTTCCTGCCTTTATGGGAGGTCTCGGTGTTGAACTTAGGTTGCTAGGCTTGTGTGCAGACCCCACTTAGCTGCTGAGCCAGCTCCTGGGCCCCTGTTTGTTTTTTAAATATGAACAGATAATCCAATTTTCAGTCGTTCGGTATAACTCTTCTTTCTGAATTATTTTTTTATTTATATTTTTTTGTGACTATAGATACCCAGTATATATAGTGCTTTAATATTTTGTGCTATTACTTTTATAGATACTTTAAATAACACAACAATATTTTATTTTATGTTTTCTTTTCTTTTTGTTTTTTTTGAGAGTGTTTCTCTGTGTAGCCCTGGCTGTTTTAGAATACTATTGTAGACCAGGCTAGCTTAGAACTCAAGAGATCTGCCTGCTTTTGCCTCCCAAGTGCTGGGGGTCAAAGGTGTGCACCACCTCTCCCAGCCGTAACAATATTTTAGTATCAACAAAAAGATAATTAGTATCAAATACATATTGTTAAAACTACAGTCAAAATCTAATTTGAAAAATATTTCTGCCTTTATTATTACTTATTTGATTTCAGACCCTGTGTGAAGGGACTGAGGTGCATTTTTTACATACCAAAGCAGACCCAGGGACAGGGGAAGAAAGTTTCTTTACTGATAAGATGAGCCAACTCAAGAGAGATTAGGTTATATTAAAGGCAGGTTTATTGTGAAGCTGCTCACAGATGGGCCAGTTCACTGGCCCCAAGGACTGAGGCCAGGGAAGTCTGCAAGGAGAAAGGTGAGGGTAGTGGACGGAGAGAGAAAGGGTGTTAGTGCAGGGAGAAGAGAAGGAGGGAGGAAAGGAGGGAGAGAGAGACTGATTAGGTGTTAGGCTGGAAAACTCAGGGTTTGGGGCAGGATATGCCAGGTAGGGACTGAGAGATGTTTGGGAGAACCTGGAGGCCAGGTCTGCTTTGGCATAGAAGATATGCACCTTAGTCCCTTGTCCCGGGGTTGGAAACAAATATTACTATTATGTATTTAAGAAACATCTCAAATTGCCTGCAGGCAGCACCACAGGCATGAGGAACAGGGGAGGACAGCTGGTAGGGTCATCACTCTTCTTCCACAATGTAGCTCTGGGGAGAGCTTAAGCAGTCATGCAGGCCTGGTTCCAAGTGCTCTTACCTTATTAGCCTTGGTGTATGAACACACAGTCCTGTCGTTAAGCACACCAGAAGAGGGCATCGGATCCATTACAGACATGTGGTTGCTGGGAATTGAACTCAGGACATCTGGAAGAGCAGTCAGTTCTCCTAACTGCTGAGCCATCTCTCCAGCCCTAGAAATTTTTACAAAGACTTGACTTTTACAACAAATATTTCTGGGTTGTGTTTTAAGAAAAAAATGTGCTTTTACCATTTTTAAAAATCATTTTATTATTCTTGACAGTTTTTCTTGTATTTCTTTAAAATTCAATGGAGTCTTTTACTTTGAGTCCTGTAATATTGTTTGCACATTATTTTTAAAGGCATAGCTTTAGGTTTTTATTACAATTTTATTTAATCCTCCCCCCACCCCTTGCAGGCATGATGTTTCCAATGACTTCGAAATAAATGTTGAAGTTTACAGCCTGGTAAGCAGTTAAAACTTTCTGAAATGAACAATAATGTATTTCCTTAGTGATATCATATTTTAAGGTATTATATTTTGGATTTGTGTATAGGTGCAAAAGAAAGATTCCTCAGGCCCCGATAAGAAGAAGAAAGCATCCAAGTCCAAGGTGAGAATTACATAGACCTAGTAAAGACACTACAGTTTGATTGTCATCTTAGGGTTGCTGTTACTATGAAGAGATGCCACGACCAGCAACTTTTATAAAAGGAAAGCATTTTATTGGGACCAACTTGCAGTTTCAGAAATGTAGTCCATTATTGTCATGACAGAAAGTATAGCAACATGCAGGAAGACTTCAGGATTGGTAGGCAGCAGAAAGAGCAAGAAGCACTGGGCCTAGGCCTAAATATCTGAAATCTCAACCCCCCCACCCCGCCCCGCTCCCATTTTCCTTCAACAAGACACACTCCCTAATACTGCCACTCACAGGTGACTGAGCATTCAGATCTATGAGCCTATGGAGGCCATTTCTGTTTAAACCACCCACCACAGTCATCTTAGGGTTCTTTGGGGGTTTGTTTTTGTGTGTGTTTGTTTGAGAGAGGATTTCTCTGTATAGCCTTGGCTGTTCTGGAACTGGGATCTGTAGACCAGGCTGAACTCAAACTCAGAGATCTGCCTGCCTCTCCCTCCCTAGTACATAGTTAGTTTTAAATCAGGCTCAGCGTTTGTATTTCCTCTGTAGGTGGGTGTGACTGCAGAGGGTAAGTGTGTAAGAGTGACCATGGTCAGTGTAAGCAGGGTCCTTCTAGTATAAGCAAAGTAGATTTTATCTTCTGAGAACTGCTTCAAGTTGCTTTCCTCTGCTCAGTGATCTGCTGGTGTCTGCTTGTCTAATCTCTGCTCTTTTGTTTGCTTCCGAAATCATTAGAAATTTTTCTGTCCTCAGTTGTACCAGCCCTGCTGGCCCCAAGTCGAACAGCCTCTGAGGGAGGAGTGAGGATGATTATAGGAAAGGCAGAAAGAAGATGCGAGAGACAGACAGAGATGGGAGGCCTACAGGTCAATATCATGCCAGCCTCCAGTTTATTTTTCTTAGCCCCTTTTTGCCTCAGTACCGTAGGAAGAAAAGCCACAAGCTAACAAACAATTGCTGAAATAGACACATAAGACTTCTGTTCTCATCCTGGGCCTCCCTGTTCCTTCCACCAAGGTCAATAGAATCTTCAGCTTCTTGCCTTGAGCCTCAAGTGTACCTCCTTTTATTGCCCCATGCCTCTGCAGACCCGGAGATCTGCCTACAGACCCTGACCTACCTTGACTCTGCCTGACCCTGGCAGGCAGCAGAGTCCCCACTTCCCCCTCTTCTTTCTCTTTCTCTGCTTCAGAGAAGTGCCAAATGGCTCCCAATAATCAGTTTTTTGTTTTTCTTCCTTCCTTCCTTCCTTCCTTCCTTCCTCCCTCCCTCCCTTC